TTGCCATCTTTTTTTTTTTTTTTTTTTTAAAGTATATCCTTTAGCAGAAGCATCTACCCTTGATTCTCTGCTTGCCAGAGGGTCAAATTCACAGACAGTTTAAGCTTAAAACAAACAGTAACAAAGCTGAACATTGCCCGTTCAATGATGAACACACAGACATCCAGAAGCTTAATACTGTATTTTATCAGCAGGTGGCTTTCCTGTCACACTTGTGTGGGAACTTTCATTCCCAGCTAAGGCATTGGGAGGAAACACATTAAGCCTGGAAGAGATTTTCCTGGGTAGTCATTATACCCTGCTGGTATAGAGGACTCTGGGGCATCTGGTGGCTGTCTGGGGAGGGCTCTGTGTGCTGGTAGAGCTGCAGGAGACTCAGCACTGGCTAAGGTAAGAGAAGGTTCTAACTCTGGTACCAAAAGCAGAAATGGAAGGAATGTGTACTTATTTAGAAAAAAGATTGATTGAAATTTGTATCTTGTTATTAAATTTTACTGTGGCATATTAACTATTCTTTTTAAAAAATAGACCTAGAAGTACAGACAATGAAATCAGATTTAAGCATTGAGAATAATGTCCCATGCACTATGCTTTAAGGGTTCTATGTGCCAGGCATGGTGGTATACACCTATAGTTCCTGAAATCAGAAGGTTGAAGCAGGAAGATCGTGAGATCAAGGACAGCCTGTATTATACAGTGAGATCTTGTCTCAAAAGAAAAAAAGTCAGTGTGGTCAATTAGATCAGTTAGTATGAAAATTGGCCACTCTACAGAATCACTGTAATACATTTCCATGTAACCAAGCAACTACAGAGATAATGCTGAACTGGCTGCAGAAAGGAGTCTCTATTCCAAATGCCTCATACATTGGGATTATAGGGTTGAGGTAGGGGTCATCGGTAGTATGTGCTCGGCATGTACAAGGTCCTGAGTTCACTACCCATCCAGTATCCTTTTCCAGCTGTAAAACGTAAAAGGTCTTGGATTGCCTTTAGTATGGTGGCAAGATGGAGGGACGTGATGCGTGGTAGGCGCTCAGCACAGTGGTTGGCACAGAGATAACCCACTGTTATTGTTTATTGTTTACTGAAAATGCTAAGAATTATGGAAAGCAGGCTCTCCTCGCTGATTCATCACATTTCAAAAACAGCACAATTCTGAGGCTGTAAGAGGTCAGTGTCTGAGCTGAAGGCATTTGCTGTTTGGGATGTGGTGGTAGGAGCTCAGATGAGCAACTGTTTTTATTATATGTTTGTACGGGCTCCTTTACAGAGTTTCCAATAAAGCCCAGGATGCTGGCACACACCTGAAACCCTGGCATTCACAAGCCTTAGACAAAAGCTGGTTCCAGGCCAGCCAGGGCCCCTAGAGCCAGAATTCAAGAAAAAAAATTCAAAGACTCCAAAAGAGTTTTGCTTAGATTTAAAAACTATCCACCCCCAACTCCACAAAATGCTGGTGAGGAGACAGGAAAAGGGGGGGGGGGTGTATCTCAGTGGTAGAGCACTCGCCTTATGTGAACAAGGCATTGGGCTCCATTTCCATAAACTGAAATTCTTTTAAAAGCCTAGATGCCCAAACCTGAGACAAAAGGCGGTGTGTGTGTGTGTGTGTGTGTGTGTGTGTGTGTGTGTGTGTGTGTCTTGCTTGATTCCACTCCTCCTCCCCTCCCCCCCACTCCCATCAGCCACACACAGTGGATGGGAAGCCCCCTCCAGTTCTCTTTGACAATAGCGTCTTTGATCAACTGTCAAGGTCTCTTTCCAACAAACTACCTGCTGAACCCCACACCTTGATCCAGAAACAGATTCATTGGGCTTTTTGTCTTCACTACAATTATGGAACAAGCTACCTGTACTTACAAAATTCGTAAGAGTAAGGGTCTCTCTCTTTTTTATTAGTCTCTCTCTCTCTCTCTCTCTCTCTCTCTCTCTGTGTGTGTGTGTGTGTGTGTGTGTGTGTGTGTGTGTGTGTGTTCAAGCATTCAAATACCTCTACACTTGTGTGGAGATCAGAGGTCAACTTTTTATGTGGATTGGGGGGATTGAACTTGGTCGTCCCATTTGCATGGCTTAGGCTTTTGCCACCTCCCCAGTCCTCCGGTTTAAAAGAAAATCCCAGTTGCATCAAAACAGAAAGTCTGTGGGGTCTGGGGTAGCAGATGGCACCGTTGTTTCTAGCTGCATCAGATCTCATCAGAGTGGCACCCACCGTGTGTTACTTGGGAGTGGGCTAAGCCAGGGTTTAGTCTGCACCAAACAGATGCTTCGGTCTCCACTACCAGCAGGAAGCAGAGGCCCACAGGGCCATGTGTGTGGCCTGAGTAGGGCAGGGTCCAGAAAGGCGAGGGATATTAACTAAGGGCCAAGGGCCTGCATGGGACAAAGTGAGAGGTACCAGATGATGAGAACCTGACTAGGCAGGGGACTTGGGTGTGGCAGTTTTTCTGAGTTTTTATCTTCAGGAAACTGATTCTTCTATGAAACTTCTCCCAAGTGCCACACTCCCTACTCTCACTGCATGTCTGCGTCCCTCTTTCAAAAGACTTACAGTAGGACTGCTGGTGACTCAGCTCTCGCACACAGCCCAGAATCCCTAAATGGCAAAGATTTTTTCCCCCTTCCCAAACCTATGTTGGTTATTTGCAACAGCGCCCTCTGGGGGTTCGGGTGAAATGCACAGCTAGCTAAAGAGCCTGGCCCCAAGCCCTGTGTCTGGGCAGTGAGGTGCAAGAGGGAGACGGAATCCTGGCACAAGTCTTGTCTACAGTGACCTGGTTTCCACAGTTTCTGCTTCATGTGTTCAGAATTACAGCCAAGCCTTTTCTCCAGTTCCCAGGTTGGAAGACAGAACGAGTTGAGATGGAGCAAGGCAGAGCTCCGGAGCTCCGTCTTACTTTGACCTACTCAAAGGCTTTCTCCTGGGAGTCACCATTTCCTGCTTGTCTAGGTTGTTAGTGGTGCCCTCGAGGGAAGGGAATGTGGGAAATGAAGGCATGGAATCTCAAACCCAACAAACCAGTTCTTCACTAGCAGGGTTGGGAATGGTCTGTTGAAAGCTGCCATTTTCGTCATCTGTGTACCCCCCTTGCCCCCTACCCCACCCACATGGGAGGATGGAGAGAGAAAGGATGTGCTATTGAGTTGGCCACGTTGCTCACTACCACTAACATTATTATTTCAGGAAGAACACAAGACTCACTTCAGTACTGCTGAGGGGATAATGAGGGGCAGATTGTGTCTTAGGGGAGTAATATTGGTCAGAGAGATGTCCCAGAAAATGTTGACTCTTTTACACTTGCAAACTTACCCAGTGTCAGATGGGTTGCTGCAGCGATCCCAGAGTGCTGTAACGGGGACATAGCGAAGCCCAGAGGTACGGTACAGCTGAGGCAGGACTTCTCTGGTTACACACTCACACATTCGCAAAATTCAGCTGGAAAAATCCCGAAGCCAGCCACTAGGCGTGTCTAAGATAATGCCTAAGAGGTCAACAATTGAGTTTTCTATAAAGCTCTAGACATACTTCTCAGTCCCAAGTTAGAATCTATGGTTCTCCTAGATTGGAGTATCTCTTCCAGCATAACATAATCCTCAAAGTGTAACCTGTGACACATATGCTATAATGATTATAGGTTTTTATAATAATTATAGTTTTGTGGGTTTTGTTTTTATTTCTTGAGACAGGTTTCCCCGTGTAGCCCTGACTATCCTGGAACTCACTCTGTAGATATGTCCATCTCTCCAGAGTGCTGGGATTAAAGGTGTGCACCACCACGCTGGAGTTACATACAATACAGAGATTTATTGTTATGGGTTATGGCACCATCTACTAAGAGACATTCTGAGTCGCTGAAAAAAAAAAAACTGTCTTGAGTCTGTGAAATGGGCGCAGCAAACCAAGGCGTTCTCTTTTCAGGATTTTCACGGTCTTCAGTGCCAAACGGGGCGCGGGGGCGGGGGGAAGGTGGCGCACAAAAAAAGGTACACAGCCTTTAGAGGTCCTCAAGAAGATCCAGGGACAGAGCTGGCAGGTTTCTTTAAAGCGTCTCCCCCTCCCCCCATCGCTCTGGCACTTCCCTCGGGCGTTTCCCTCCCTAGTCAGTCCCTTTCTGTGCAGTCCTTTATGTAATTTATCTAAATATAGCTCCATCACTAACAGAGCCTGGTATCTTCTCAGCCTGTTTCTCATCCTGGAAACAGGTGTCTCGTGGGTAGTGGGGTATGAGGAGAGTCCCCGCCCACCGCATGCCCTACTGTTGAAGCCTTGGGAATTTGCGATATGTTAAAAAACCTCAGGAAACAATATTTATTTATTTATTATTTATTTATTTATTTATTTGTCTTTCGAGACAGGGTTTCTCTGTATTATTTTGGAACCTGCCGTGGAACTAGCTCTGTTGACCAGGCTGGCCTCGAACTCAGAGATCCGCCTGCCTCTGTCTCCCGAGTGCTGAGCCTAAAGGCCTGTGGCACCAACGCCCGGCTAGGAGACAAATTTTAAATGTCATTTAAAAGTCAACCAACTAACCATTTAGCTCCGGTGAGTTTTAAGAACAGCAAACACACGAAAGACCGGAAGGAGTTTTGTCCTTTGCAGGGTTTCTTTACTTCCTGGTGGGGTGGGGACTGAAACCTCTCACCTTCTGTCTCCCTGCTCAAGAGTCCAGAAAGAGATCAGATGGCAGCAGGGATCTGCTGTATCGGGCTTCGATTGGGGTGGACGGGCCAGAACAAGTTTATCTCCGGGGTGCCTAGAGACTAGGGGCATCCTCGGCTGGATCACGGCGAGACCGGGGAAGCAGGACTACGGAGGCTGCGCCCGAGCTCTCCCCGCCTCCGCGCTGTCTGCCGTCCGGCCCCGCCCGGCGCAGCCCTAAGGTACGCACCGGAGTGTGTAAGGCACAACCGGGTGTCAGAGGCTGCAGTTTTAGGGGTCGGGAGTGCCCTGGGAAACAGGGGCAGGACGCCAGCTCTAACCCAGAAGCGCGAGCACCTGCACAGCACCGGGTCCAGAGGAGCGCACCAGCCCAGCCCTCGCCGCGGAGTCCCCCGCCGGGTAGCTTTGGGGTAAGGGGAGGGGTCTGCACGCCAGCGCCGTCTGCTCGGTTTGGGCTGACCCGGCGCGGCTCCTTGGAATGAGGGTGGGGAAGGGACATCGTGTCCTCTAGACAGCCCTGCGGCCGAAGAGGAACCAGAGATGGACCGACTGGTCTCCCTGTGTCGGCCCCCAGTGGTCTGCCCCCGCCACCCTCTTGCCTGCTTCCCGCTTCTTCCGTGTGCGCCTCCAGGAACAAGGTCCTTTATTATCGCAACGGGAGGCCCGGGGTTGATCACGCGGCCTCGTGGCCCCTAGGTGAAACCCTTGGCACGCATCGTTCAATGCCCGCGCAATTTCACAGAGGGGACTGAGAGCCCAGCAATGGAAGGAACTGGCCCAAGGTCACTTCGTGGTTCAAGGCCGAGCCTGGGTAGAAGCCATTCATCTATCCTGGCCTTGGCTGTAGGCCCTGCGCGGTCGCGACCCATCTCCCGACCTCACCCTCGTCCACCCCCTCCTCCCGTGGCCTCCACTAGGCTCTGTTCTCGAGAGTTTTGGCAGAGCCTCCTCCGTGCCTGCTGCGCTCGGAAAGGATGCTGCACAGCGGTGAGGCGCTGGTCCTGCCGCTTGAGCGCGAGCGGGGCCTGGCTTACTGGAGACTGAATGGGCCTCGGTGCTGGGCGAGGAGGAGGTTCAGGCAAGGTGGCGGGATTGCGGGGTTCGCCTGGGGATGGCAGAGCTGCAGGAGGCCTGGCAGGCCCAGGCCTGAAGCCACCCCAGCTCAGCGTCGGGAGGACAGAGAAGCTTTGTCTAGGTGGGCCGCTCAGCCAATGGGAGCGCAGCTTTGGCCGAGCCCCCGCCTTGGTCCCCGCCCTCTTGCCGTCTGGCGGGGGCCACAGCTCTGGGATTGGCCGTGAGGTCCACAGCGATATCGGGCGTGGTGGGGAGGAGGAGGCCCCTGGGCAACTCCACCGTACCCCTTGCTTGCTGGAGGACACTGAGATTGCGTGGGTTCGTGCATCTGGGTGAGGCCCCGACGTCTTTTTCCCTATGCCGGCGCCTGCCCCTTCCAGGAGGAGGCGGCTTAACACCAGTCGCATGTTTTTCCAGCCTGTGAGCCAAAGTTAGCCCATAGTCAGCAGGTGCAGGGTCACTGTTTTGCCCAGAGGTTCCCACTTGGAAGAGCTGCAGAGGCTTCCTCTTGCCAGGACCCTTTGTGACGCAGCAGATGCCTTTCTTTCGACATCAGATTCGTCTTGAAGCACTGGGCATATGCACCCTAGCAGGCTAGGAAGCTGAACGGAGACATTCATGTATCGTTCATGATTTCTAAACAACACATCTATAGAGGAAGCCTAGAAGTCAGTGATTCGCCGTCCTGATCGCGGGGTGTTTACCGTGCCGATGGGAGCGATGGTTAGCCAGGGCTTGTGAGTAGTTATGAACTGAAATATATCCAATATAACCCCACTGGGTGACTGCAATTACAGAAGTCCAGAGGGAGACTGGGGAGAGGGAGAGGCTTGTTTGTTTTGTTTTCCCTGAGAGGAGGGTTGAAGCTAAGGCTTCATGCATGATGGGTGTTTACCACCAAACTATATCTTCAACCTGACTTTTGTTAGTTTGAGATGATGTTCCATTAAGTTCCCTGGGCTGACCTTGGATTTCATATAGCCCAGGAAGGCCTTGACGACCCCCCCCCTCCTCCCAACTTCCTGAATAGCTGGGATTACAGTCACTATTGGGAGACTGATTTTTTGCTATAGGCAATTAGGAAAGGTAACTTGGAGGAGGTGTTTTTGTACCAGTTAGGTGTGAAGTAGGTCCGATTTGTATAGGGTAAGGGAGGCACAGAAATTAAGAGTGATGGTCTAGCAAATGATTTAGTAAGAGCTGGTAAGAATATAGATGCTGTGGATGCCTACACAGGTGGACTTCAAAACTAGCTCCTCTAAAGTCAGGCCTGGATGGAGGAGGGGCTCAGGGGCCCTATCCCTCACAGCTGAAATATTTACTGTAGATCCGGGGAGAGGGGAAGTCATTGGCTAAAATTGTGTATTTGATGATGATGGACAGTTCCAGTGCAGTGGTCAGTCAGATGGTCCTGGTTAAACTACATGGTTGGAAGAAAGAAGTGACAGAAAAGGACTAGTATATCTCCCAAGTGCTGGGATTAAAGGCATGGGCCACCACACCTGGCTTCAAACCCTCTTAATTCACTCAACTACAGGTCTTGGGTGTGCAGGTCACTGCTATAGGAATCCCCATACTCCAAGGGCTTGCAGTTGAATAAGACTCAAAGATGCAGATAAGATAGAAATGGTGTATAGAAAGTGTAGTGAGTTCCCCAGAAGGAAAGCAAAAAATGGAAGCAAGGGCGGGGACAGAGAAATTGCCAGGCTGGGGCGGGGTGTTGGAGGGAAGGACTGAGGTGAGAGGGTATCTTATGAAGAGTTTCCAGGCAGAGATGTGACCTTGACACTGCAGTGTGCCAGGAAATGTTCCAGTGACAGCAAGAAGGCCACTGTGACTGAGAAACAGTGAATAGAGATGAGGTTAAAAGGACATTGGGACCAATATCATGTCAGATTCTAGGCAGTCTATATAAATGTGGGCTTGGAATTAGATGCAAGAGTGAGATGATGTGATAAATATTTTGCAGAACTGAAAAACCTGCATGGAGACCTTGCTGGACTGCAAAGATCCTACTTGGGAAGCTGTTGCAATACTCGAGGCAAGGAGGGACGAAGGCTTAGATGACAGTGGACCCTAGCTAGCTTGTGAAGGTGATGTCAGTAAGAGCTGCCAACAGCTGTGCCGCAGAATGTGCAGGAAATCAGAACACAAGCACACTTGGGACAAGTTAAACTTAGCATACCCAATAAAACCTTCAAAGGTGCAGTTGTATACTTAAGGCTGGAATTTGGGGCCAAGGCTGAGCTGGAAGTAAACCTTAGCATGTTGACAGCATGTAGATGATACAGCTATGAAAGCTCACCGTGTGGTAAGAACAGACTGGGCGTAGGGCCCTGGGTTAGCATCAGTAGTTGGTCTTGTCCGTGACAGGCAAGCCCCATTCTCCTGGGCATAGAATGTTCTCTTAGTCTGACTATTGTAGTTATAGTGATTTTGACGTCTCTGGTAACGTTTTCCTTTGGGGAAGCACAGATGAGTGATGGAGCAAGGGAGGCATATGTCACATTGTCATTATAAGGTCAACAGTGATGTACTTAAAGAATTAATGATAGTTTTTCAGCAGAATCCACCTACCCTCAGCTACCCTCAGCAGGTCCTAGGTCTCCAACTCATGGAGGCTGGTTTTCATTCTTTCCTAGGGGTCATCTTCTATCCCTGGTGAAGCTACAGCTGTGGAGACTGAATCCTATGGGCTGGAGCAAGTGCAAGAAGAGGGGGTTGACAGAATAGACACACTGCAGTGACTACCATTTGGTAATTTGTCCCCTGGGCAGATTGAGATCCAGTGTGTCTCTGCAAAACCGGGCTGTGCAGCTAAATCCTTGGCTTTATTGACACCATTGAGATTTGTTTTAAGTTGTGTCTGCATTTATGCTAGAAGTATGGTGAGAGGGAGAGAGAAAGAGAGAAAGAGAGAAAGAGGGAGAGAGAGGAAGGGAGGGAGGGAGAGAGAGAGAGAGAGAGAGAGAGAGAGAGAGAGAGTGTGTGTGCCATCTGATTTCCTGTGTAATCCTATCAGTCTTCCCATCCAGATTTTCTCTCAAAGGACTAGGCATCTCTTTGAACAAAGGGTTTTACTCTTTTACTTTTTGTTTTTTCTAGACAGGATTTCTTTGTCTAGCCCTGGCTGTCCTGGGATTCTAGCTGTAGACCAGGCTGGCCTCAAACTCATAGGGATCTGCCTCCATCTATCTCCCAAGTGCTAGGATTAAAGGCATACCCCACCACCAGTTTAGAAAACATATTGCCTGCCCCTTTGGCAGACCAAACAAAATTACTAAATAATTAGAAGGAAAATGTCCAGAACATATTTTGTGTCTTTCTTGTTCCAGATCTTGTAACTCAAACTCCATGTAGTGTCCAGGCAAATAAAAATAGCGACATGTGTAGTGTTAAGATAGAACTGGCAAAATGGCTTCAAGCATAGCTCCTCTGCTTCATTATTGCTAACTTTTAATGGAGCTGGGAGTGTGTGTGTCTCAATGACAGAGCATGTGCATAGCATGTGCAGGGCCATGGGTTCAATATCTAGTACCCCAAATAAAATGAAAGAAAACACAACAAACCACTGGACTGAAGTGAATAATAAAAAGAAAATGTAGGAAAGTTAAAGCTCTAGGGTGGCCCAATTTAGCAGCGGGCTGCCAGTGTCGGACTTGGCTTCTGACAGATGTTTGCTGTCTTGGGTACTTCAATACAGGGTACCTGTAGAGGATGCAGCTCGCCCTCCTCTGTGGGACAGGGCCTCTATGCTGCAGTGTCAAAGGCCCATCTATACACCCTACCCAGAATATTGAGTCTTTTCCTGCTGAATGCCTACCTTCTGTATTCCTGTCCCTGCAGATGCCCTTTCTCTTCTGAGAATGACTTACCCTGATGGGGTTAGGGGAAGATCTAGCTACTGATCCACTGGAAAGCAGGCGGCTGTGGTGTCTTCTAGATACTCAATTTACAGTGTGACATGGCTAGCCCCAGTAGCCCGACAAGGATATGTGCATATGTTTCAGAGACTGTTCTTGCTTAGCTGCCCTATCCTAGTGGCCATGTCACAACTCACCACCCCTGGAGGCTGATTTACACTCTTCCTCCTCCTTTTTGTGTCTTTGAGACAGTGTTTCTCTGTAGCCTTGGCTGTCCTGGAACTCATTCTGTAGACCATGCTGGCCTCAAACTCAGAGAGAGCTGCCTGCCTCTGTTTCCTGACTGTTGGGATTAAAGGTGCTACCATACTTGACTCTTGATTTGGACTCCTTTGAAACGGGAGGAAAAATGGGTTCATTTTGGGTTTCCCACAGGTGCATTGACCTCCGAGGGGGTGCTCTTGAGAGGAGACCCAGGTTTTCCTAGCATCTTTATTTTGTGACAGCATCCTATGGATTTGGTCATTCCCAGTCAGACCCTTTTACTGTGGTGCTTGAGTTTCAAGGCCAACGGAACCCCTAGCCCTTAGGAGATCTTCCTTTTTCTGACATCACCTACTTCCTGTAACCATTTCTGTTCCCAAACCTAAGGCAGACTAGAGAGAGAACTTCTGTTCTTTTACAGAGAGTGAAATCCAGCCTGAGGCATTAAGATAGCAACAGCCAAGTGGGAAAAGTCCTTAGGTATAACAGGATACACCGTGTTCCATAGACCTAGTCCAGGCTGGCAGTGTAGCTCATCTACAAAAACACTTGCTTAGTAAGAGGCCCTGCCTTTAGATATAAATGTCTACCGTTCTGCGTATGAGAAATTATATTGTAAATATGCCTAATTCAAAGGCCTGAGTTGATATGTGCTCTAAGCTATTTTGACTATAACACTTCACATTTTGCTGACTCTAAGGGAAACTAAGTTGAAAGCAACCCTCTATTTGGAGACTATATTAAGGCATTTTCTTGTGCAGGCGTTGAGCCAAGGGCTGGGGAAGGTCTTTAATTATAGACTGCTTTTGAAGTCACGCAGGAGCTGGCTTCATTTGTGGTGGGAGGAGGTGGACATGTGTGTGTTCAGCCAGCTGCTCAGCACATGGCCTCCTGTAAAGATGAGACCAGGCCTGGGTCTTCCACAGGGGCCCAAGTTGGGATCTGCTCTGCTGCTGCCTGTGCTTACAGGGACCTGCTTCTGGGATTTCAGTATGGGTCACATGGTAACTTCCTACCCCCCCCCCCCCCAAGGTGCTCCTTGCTTAATCTCCATTCACACTCAACTGAGGCTTGCTTGGTGCCTCCTCTGATTGGCCTGGGCACTGATGATTACTGAAAGTGGCTAACAAGCTGGGAAAGTCCTCTGGTCTCAAGAGATTTTTGTCCATAGAGGGAGATTAAAGAAATAAGCAAGATAGCGTGGGCATTAAAAAGTGGGCCTACAGGTCATGCTGTGTGTTGCTGGAGAGCTCCTTAAAAAGGGGCAGTGGTGACTTCGTCAGGTTCTGTGGCTATAAACACCCGAGAGCCATACCTTTAAAGAAAAGAGGTTTGGCTGATGGTTTTCAGAAGTCTGATGCACAGGGCTTGTGCTCAGCTTCTGGCGAGGATCCCATGCTGTTCACAGCGGGGTGGAGGGGGTGGGGGCTGGTTTGAATGTGGCACAATGTAGCAGAAGGGTTGATCCATAACAACCTGCTCTTACAGTAAAGTCCAGCCCCAGGCCCCAGGAGAGTGACATCTCCCTGGGGACCAGCACTAATGTCCCTAATTACTAAACCACTTTTTTGTTGTAAAGACAGGGAGAGCTGCACATGAAGCCCGAATTCCTTGCTGGAATGTGCAGCTACTGAGTGTTGAGATGTAGCCCGCCTCCTGATCAACTTTTTCTTTGTTTCAGTTCGGGTCTCATTTTCTTATATACTCTCAAGAAGCTCCAGCTGGCCCTGCATTTTCTCTGTTGCTGAAGGTGGCCCTCCTTCGACTGTGTCCAGTTCCTAGTTACCCCATGTGTCACTGTCACACCAACAGTCAGATACCACAACTGTCTGATTGACTTGAGCTCAGTAGAAGAACATTTGCTAAAAGTGTGAAGGTCTAGATTCCATCACTAGGTGCCTCCCGCTACATTTCAACTTGAGTTTTCTAGGGGACAACCATATTCAAATCACCACAGGTAATGAATAGCAGCCACTCCGAAGACTGAAAGGGACAGAAGACCCCCCCTCCTAGCCTTAGCCATGCAGTAAGTGGGAGAGCAATGGCCAAGCACTCTGAGACTGGAGGGAGCCACCTCACCAGACATGCACCAGACACCAGCAAATTAGGCAGTGTTGAAAGGGAGGTAGAGGCCAGCACAGTAGGCATAGATAGGTGAAGAAGGAAGCATGGTTTACCTCTGGCTGTCAGGAGGATTTTTCTAGCCAAAGTTCTCAGAATGGGCGTGGCTTGTAGATAAAGAAGAGACCACCACCAAGTTCAAGAACAGTAATAACACTGTCAAAGGGGTTCTGTTTGCCTGTCCCAGGAATTCAACAGCTAAACACCTCTGCCTCACCCTCAGTGAACGCTGTCTAGGCAGGCTTGTTGACTACCCTAAGACTTGATCTAGATATGGTTTGAGCCTTAACTTGAATTGTGAAGTTTGAAGGGCAAAATTTAACTGGCTGTCCTTACTCACTATGGAAATTGATAAACTATTATTTTTTTTATTTTTTATTTTTTTTACTTTATGTATATGGGCATTTTTGCCTGAGTGCATGTCTCTGCACCACACAAATGTCTGGTGCCCGAAGAGGCCAGAAGAGGGTGTTGGATCATTTAGAACTGAGTTAGATATGGTTGTGAGCTAGCATGTGGGTGCTGGGAACCAAACCTGGGTCCTCTGGAAGAGCAGTCACTGCTCTTAACCACTGAGCCACCTCTCCAGATCTTAAGTGAACTATTTTTGGCCTTCAGAGGAAGGACCTTTGGGGGCTGATCCAGATTAGCTAATGTCTTCAGGGTGCAGCTCCCTGGTTGAATCTTGAGGCCTTTATAAGAAGTCTGTGTGCTAGATATGGTGGAACATGCCTTTAGTCCCAGCATTCATAGAGACAGACAGATCTTTTTGAGTTCGAGGCCAGCCGGTCTACACTGTGAGCTCCAGGCCAGCCAAGGCTACACAGTGAGACCCTGTCTTAAAAGGAAGAAGGAAGGAAGGAAGAATGGATGTGTAGTTCTGCTCCAGCCATGTCGATCTTCCCAGCCTCCCCTCCTAGCCCTTTGGCTAGAAGTTGTCACTGTTGCCCAGAATGGGAAGGTGCTACCACTCATGTTGAGCAACAGTTACTAATGGAAACATAAGGCAAGCAGGGGAGACCTCCGCTTCTCTTCATTTTCGGCAGATTAAAGGAGCCAAATACCCCCAGCTGCCCTCTGTGACGAGCATCATGTTAGTTGATTGGTCAACCACCTTAGTACTGGCCTGGTCTGAGTCTGGTTTGTATACATGACATTTAATCGTCATAGTGCTGGGTAGGCCTTAGGTGACACCGAGTGACATAGGACCTAGTTGCAGTCATTTGATTTTACCTTATTAGGGTAAGGATGAGGGGGGTTATGTGTGGTCTTTGGTTTGCTCTGTGTGCAGATTTTGTTATTGTTGATTTGTTTTAGGCAGTGTTATAGCCCAGGCTGGTGAGGAACTTGCTTTATAGTCTAGGCTGACTTCCCACTTACAGTTCTTCTGCCTCAGCCTCCTGAATGCTAGGATGATAGGCCTGTACTATCCTGCCTGGATTGTGTGTGTGTGTTTTAATGTGAAGAGTCTTGCTTCTCATTTTGTAGCTCCAGCCTCTATGCCCTTGAGTTTTGTTAGATATTCGAAACCTGGACAAGGGAACAGGGCTTGCTGAGATGGATCCACCCAGACTGGGTTGCTCAGTGGTTAGTGGTACTTCCAGAGAACTCCCTAACACGTGTGTCAGACCTGTGGCCTGCAGGTCACATATAGCTGAGGACAGCTACAAATGTGGGCCAACATAAAGTTGTAAACTTACTTAAAACACTACATTTTTTTAGACTGTTAAGACTCTCTGGGTGGTGGTGGTGCATGCCTTTAGTCGTCAAATTTGGAATCTCTATGAGTTCAAGGCCAGCCTGGTCTACAAACCAAGTTCCAGGATAGCCAGGGCTACACAGAGAAACCCTGCTTCAAAAAAACAACAAAACACAAAACTCAATTGCACAGTTCTTGATCATGAACTTAACAGATGATGTCATTTTGCTGTGTCACAAGGACATAACCTTCCCCTGGTTATGTTCCCAAGTCAGTTCCCCCCAGTAGTTACTGTACAGCCTTCGTGGAGGATCATTGGTCTAGTTGAGTGCTGTCTGTCACCCATAGGTGACCAGTCCTCATCCATGGCTGTTCTGTGAACCCTTGGCACACCCTGGTTCCCAATTTTCCATCTCTTGAGGCTTTAGCTTGAGCAGGGCCTTGTCAGTTAACTTCAACCTGAAGAAAGTGGCCGTCCCTGACTAAACTTCCAAGTGCAAGAGGCTGAGCATGCATTTTGTGTTTCAGAACCACCAGAAGGAAGCAGATCATCCTACAACCTACTGACATGATGCTGGCTGCCCGTGTCTCCAGACCCCTGTCACAGCTCCCGGGAAAAACTCTAAGTGTCTGTAATAGAGAGAATGGGACAAGGTAAGCAACTAAAGGAAGAAGTGGCCTTGGGGACCATGTTTGTCACAGGTGGATCCTGATGTCCTCAGTACCTGCTAGACCCCAGGGAAGGGGGCTTCCAGTGCTTGGAAGTCATGCCTTCCCAGGGCTCACAGGGCAAAGAGGACCAGCTTCCTGTGTCTGTGCTGAGGATGCAGCTCTGGTCCTGTCAACAGTACTCTTCATCGCCTTATGTGATCTTGACACTAGAAGACCACTCCTAGCTACTCTGAAGACTGCCCCTCCCAGTGCAGGGTCCCTCCAGGTTAAGGGTTTGTGTGTATGTCATTGCATTGTTGTGGTAAAATACAGATTAGTAATCTGGTAAGTAGCTTGCAGAAGTGAGGTGTGCCCTCCTTAGCACACCACCAGTGTCCGTGTGACTCATTTCTTTGGTCTTTCTATATTTACACCTTAAGGAAATGCCCTAGACATCCCTGAACTGCTTATATGGTTTAGGAGAATTAAATAAGCACAGACTAAACAAACAGATCTTTGGTATTTTGGAGACACCATCTTACCATATTGCTCAGGCTGGTTTCCAACTCCTTGCTTCAAGGGTCCTGTCGCTTTAGCCTGTGAATGCTAGGTCTAGGCCTGTGTCGCTGCACTCAGCAGATCTTGCCTGTTGCAGGGGGAATTCTGTGGGCTCTGCTGCTCCAAAAGAAGACAAACTTCTGGTCATATTCGAGGGAAGTGAAATGTTTGCCAAGTTAAATGCTATAGCAAGACACTTGGTCTTTTCTATGATAGTAAATTTCTTGAGAACAGACACGGAGGGCTGGAGAAATGGCTCAGAGGTTGCCTCTTCTGGCATGCAGGCATACATGCAGGCAGGACACTATACACAATAAATAATAAACATTAAAAAATAGATAGATAGATAGATAGATATATAGATAGATAGATAGATAGATAGAAAGAACAGACTTTTAGGATTTCTCAGCATTTGTATGGGATCCAGAGCAAGAGGCTCCGCTGCAAATAGAATTTAGCTCTCATTGTCACCGTGTGACAGAATGTGCCCGTGCAGAGCAGTGTTCACTGCATTGAAGGGGACAAGGATCCTGACTGTGGAAGGGTTTTAGAGAGAAGTATCTTTCTGCCTTTAAAAAAAAAAAAATCTATTCTTATTTACCTTTTAATTATTCAAGTCCTTGAATGTTGCAACATCAGAAATTCTGTATCCAATGGATTAAGCAGGAAGTTGCCTGGGAATCTGGCAGGAGCCACACCACTGTTCACACGGCATAAATTGCCCTTCTTAGATGGCTCTGCTTCTGTCCTTTGCTCTCACGACTGCATGGTTCCTGCTTTGTTGTACATAAGAGCAACCCTTGCCCAAGGAGAATTCACCTTTGTCTCTGATATAAGTGCTGTGTATTTAGGAAGAGCTGTGTTACCTCTGCAGATCATTCTGCTGCCAGGGAAAATTGCCCCATTATTTGCCGGCCTCTATCCTTTAAAGCAAGTGAAAAACCTGGGCCTGGAGAGATGGCTCAGTGATTCAGAGGCCCTGCTGCTCTTCCAGAGGACCTAGATGCTCCCGGGAGCATCCACATGGCAGGTCATGATAGTCCAGCTCCAGCTGGAGGGGAGTGCCCCCTTCTGACCTCTGCAACCACTGCACACACGTGGTACACATACTATTTGTAGGCAAAATATCCATGCACATAAAATAAAAAATAGAAAAACCTGTCCCCAAAGTGGCATTTAGAGATTTCTGAAATTTTCTTATATCAAAAACAACCCCAAAGGGAATTAAAATATTTCTACCAAAGATTTGTCTTTAAAGGGAAGTGGGGCATTAGTTGCACTTCTGGTTCATTTGAGGAGGGGAAAAAATACTACTACAGGGACATTCTTGACTACGTGAGTAATGAAGAGTTATCTGGTATTTCAAATGTCAGTGTGTGTGCCATTTGCAGGGGCAGCAGAGCTGAATCAGAATGAATTACATGTCCCCAAGGTGGTGTATCAGTAGAGGCCCAGAGGGAGGGCAGACACAAAGGGAGGCTGGCACAAGGGGTGACCTGTGCTAAGGATCGGCACTAGGTCCTGGGGAGAAGCACTGGCCTGAATTCTCTTGAATCTCAGTTGCCAAGGGCTTCATGCTCCTTTCATTCCCTAAGGGTGAATCCTGCTGATCCCCTGGCATCCTTGATGTGTGACCTCCCAGCCTTGGTGCATTTGAATGTATCCATTGATGGGAAGTCATTACCTCTCACAGCACACCTTGTGTCTTTGGACAGCTCTACATACAGTCCTTCTTTATAGCGAGTGGAAATGCTTTCTCTTACAAATGCCACCCTTTGTTCCTGGGTCCACCTCTGTTTTCAGTGTGTCACATCTCTCGGGACAGCATGCCATTCAGTACCCATCTGCTTGTCCCATTTTATTCCATCTATACAGTTCCCTCCGAAGTCATTTTCTCCAACTGCAAGACCAGCCTAGCAAGGCAAAAAGCCTTAGCCTGTGATTGCTCTACTGACATCTGTGGCCTCAGCCTATGCATGCCAGTGAGGGTCAGCAGACAGTGGACTTCATCCCAACAGGCATGCTGTGGAGGTGGGGGTGGGGCGGGGATCCTCGTCAGCCAAAGAAAGCTAAGTAGAGACCAGGACCGTCATTCTAGGATAGCTCTGTCTGCTTTGGAGGAAGAAGAGTCATGGGAGGCTGCTGGGAGACTTTATCCACCCCCATCAGTAATGAGACCATACATATGTGTGCAAAGCAGTAATGAGACCACCAACTTCTCCCTCCCACCCAGGGAAGTAGCAGTGGGGGCCTGGAGCTGGGCTGAGCTTTCTATGACTTTATGAAGTCATGGAAGTGTTTATGAAGCTAATATTATACTTATCTCCAACCAGACAAAGACAGTAACACAGAAAGTGGGAGGGGGAGCTACAGACCCGTATACACACACACACACACACACACACACACACACACACACACACTGTCCCTCACACACACACACACACATACACACACACACTGTCCCTCACACACACACTCTCTCTCTCTTCCTCACATACACACACATTCTCCCTCACACACACACACACTCTCTCTCACTCACACACCCTCATACACACACTCACACACATACATACATACACACACTCATACACACACACTCACACACATACATACACACACACTCTCTCACACACACACACTCATACACACACACTCATACACACACACTCACACACATACATACACACACACTCTCTCACACACACACACTCATACACACACACACACTCACACACACACATACATACATACACACACTCATACACACACACTCACACACATACATACACACACACTCTCTCTCTCACACACACACACACTCATACACACACACACTCACACACACATACATACACACACTCTCCCTCACACACACACACTCTCACTCACATACACACACTCACACACTCACACACACACGTACACACACACACACACACACACTCATTTTGAGTCAGGGTTTCTCTGTGTTGCTCTGTAGACCAAGATGGCCTCAAACTCAGAGATTTGCTTGTCTCTGCCTCCCAAGTGCTGGGATTAAAGGTGTATGCCATCACCACCCTGCCAGACTCTTAAATTATTAACAGGTAGAATTCAACAATATCTTTTTAAACTATAAAACATGAAAGAAATGTATTTGTTCCAGGGATATACGGATAGTTATTTAATTATTTACAGGTATGCATGCATGTGTTGGTGAATATATATGAATGCACAAGACCAAACTAAAGGATGCCCAAGGTTTATTAGGAAACACTCTCTGATAACAAGGTGGAGAGTGCCGGCCGTCACCCATTCTGCCCTGGGGTGAATGGAAGCAGCAATCCATCTCTGACCAACACACAAGAGAGTGAGCACCAGCCCCCTCTTTCTTTCAAAGGACTTATGTCAGCAGACAAGAAGCTCTGCCTCTTGTCAGATAGCCATAGGTCACGGATGGGAAGAATACCCACTGTGTGTGTGTGTGTGTGTGTGTGTGTGTACATGCCTGTGTGTGTATGTGTACATACATACATGTATATTTATGTGGGTATGGATGAATGTGTGTTTATGTGGGTATAGATGGATGTGTGGGTGCAATGAAGCCCAGAGGGCAACCTCAGATGCCATCCATGTTGTAGTATAGAAGTTATTCTAAAATTTACGTGGAAAGGCAAAAGAAATAGAATAATAATTTCTTTTTCAAAAAAAGAAATAAAGTGAGGGTACATAGGTCAACGGAACATTGAGAGCTTCAGAAGTAGGCCACACAATATGCTTGACTGCTTTTTGGCAACAGTGATTCAGAAGATAACATTTCAAACAGTGCTGGGTCTCACAAGCAAAACCAAATTCTCTAAGTGGTGTCTCACACCAGCACAGACTCAGAAAGAACCATGAGCTTAAATTGACCTAAGTGTTGTCTCATGCCAGCACAGACTCAGAACCGAGAGCTTAAATGGGAAACTTTCAGGAAAAAAACAGGGGGTTAAGTTTAGGTCAAGAGCCACATATGCCCTATAAGAGGAAAAATGGATCGATTAGACATCATCAAAAGGAAACACATTCCCTTGAGTAGTCCCTGCTAAGAGAACGGGGGCAGACATGGCAGTGCACACTTTTAATCCCCATTTGGGAGGCAGCAGCAGGTAGATCTCTGTGAGTTTAAGGCTAGCCTCATTTACAAACAAGTTCCCAGCTACTTAAGGGTACACAGGGAGACTGTCTCCAGACACACACTGGAAGGAGGCTGTTACAGATTAGGAGAACATAATATTTTTTTGCCACACAGGTAGCAAAGGCACCTAGAGCATCCAAAGGATGTTCAAAGTTCACCTGTGAAGGTAGAGAGTCCACTTAGAATGTGCCCAAACACAGGATGTCCCCACAAATGCTGAAATCCTACTTCCCATATTGCTGGTGTATTGTGGTTCTCTAGAGGAATATAGGGGGATGGCTTATAAAAGGGGTGAGTTAGAATGGGTTGCACAGTAGAGCTGGATAGTCTCAACAATTGTTGTGAACACATCGGAGAGCCCGAGACCCCAGTAACTGCTCAAACCATAAAGCTAGATGTCTCAGCAGTCTCAAAACAGTGCTGGAGGCCTGGGAGATCCCTGATCATCACTGGTTTTCAATCCACATTGGAAGGCAGAAGAAACTGGAATCGGATAGTAACAGTAGAGTGTGCACCTCAGGAAGAAGTAAGCACAGGCCAGCAGCAAGCTTTCCCTTCAGACTTCTATGCATATGAACCCACCATTAAAAGTTGCAGCTGCCTCTGAGGTAGCTCTCCTACCCAGAGTGAATCCTCTTTGGAAGCGCTCAAAGACAGCTTGTGTCTTTTAGGTTGTTTCCAAATCCTGTCCAGTTGATAGTTAAAAGCGACCATGCCAGCTGGTGTGAGAAGGTTGGGCCTTAGGAAGTATTAGGTCATAGAAGCAAAGCCTTCATCAGTGGGTTAATGTCTTGGTGACAGAGGTCTAAGACAACTCCCCCCATCTCCTTCTGACAAGTAAAATCACAGTAGTGGACTCTCATATCTGCTAACACCTCGAGTTTGAGCTTCCCAGTTTTCAAAGCTGTTAAGTTTTGACCCTTTATAAAGCACTGTCTAGTTTGTAAGGCACCCATACTATGGTATCTTATTAGGCGTCTGACCTGAGGCAGGCAGTAGATAACCAACGTCATTAGCTATTAGAGAAATGCAAATTAAAAACAAATGAGATAATCATGTATAGTTTTAGACATGACTAAAAAAAAAAAACAGTGGCCTTTAAATGCCAGCACTTGGCATAGTGAGACAGAAGGATGTTGGCCAGTTTGAGTCAGTCTGGTCTACAAGTCCCATACTAGCCTGGCCTACGTGAGACCCTGTCTCAAAAACCAGCAATAACAAATAAAAAATTAAAAATAGTGACATCATCAAGTTCTGGGAAGTATGTGGAGAAACTGTGTCGTCATACATTCCTGCTGGGAATGCATGCTTCCTCTGCTCCTGAGCTGTAAACAGCTCCCAGTCTCTTTAAAATCAAAGTATACACCTACCATATGACCCAATGGTTACACTCCTGGGAGTTTATCCAAGAGAAACATGTTTATACAAAATCCTGCCCAGGAATATTCATAGTGGCTTTATTCATAATAAATAAAAGGTGGAAGCTACCCAGAAGACCTTCAGAAAGTAAATATAGTTAGACAGTTGCCCAAGTTAGAGAGGGGACTTAGACATAAAAGGGCAAGCTTGTTTCCAGAGAGCAACACTTGAGTGTACCAAGCTAGACCCAGGGGCTATGTACTATATTTCTCACAGTTCTCTTTGGTGTTACCATCTTGTGTTTTTGAGGTAGAATTGTACTTTGTAGTATAGGCTGGCCGGGAACTCCCAGAGTCTTCTTGCATCAGTCCCCTGCATGTTGGGATTAAGCCACCATGCCTGGCTTAACATTGCTGAAATGATAGTTGTAGTGATAGAGAACAGATTGAAGAGGGTGGGGTGGGTGTGGCTCTGGAAAGGGTAAAGAGAAAGATGCAAAACATGATGGAAATGTTCCACATTGTTGCTGTATCTCTGTCAGTATCCTGGCTGTGATATTGCAGTCGTGCAATTCTACCATTAATAGAAACTGGGCAAGGGGTACCCAACATCTGTCTGCTTGCTTGCTTTTCTTTCCTTTTCTCTTCCCTCTCCTCTCTTCTCTCTTCTCCCTCTCCCCATCCCTCTCGTTTCCTAGTACTGGGGATTAAATCTAGGATTTTGCATGTGATAGGAAAGCACTATACCGCTGAACTGTACCCACAGCCCTATTTTTACTTTCCATGATAGGCAGGGTCTCACCAAGTTGCCCAGGATGGCCTTAAATGTATGATCCTTCTGCTTCATCTTCCCAAGTAGCTGTGATTACAAGCCTGCCTCTACCCAGCCCAGCTCTATTGTTTGTAAACAGTGTGTATGTCTATAATTATCTACGCATAAAAAGTTTAAAAACAAGATCAGGAAAACAGCATTGAGCTTACGGAGAGTTGAAACACTGAAAATAAAGGCAGCTTTACTTTTAATGTGCATGTGTGTGCGTGTATGTGTACATGCCCACATGTGGAGATCAGAGGACAGCCTGCAGTGATCAGTCCTCTCTCCTAGCATCATGTGGCTCTGGTGATGAATCTCAGGCTGTTGGGGTTGGCAGCAATAACCTTTACCCACTAATCTATCTCACCAGCCTGCAGAAGGCTTTAAAAGAAATGTTCTCTGAAAGCACATGCATGCTTTGATTACACCTTGATCACGGAATACTCACCATCTGTGTCACCCTGGAAAGCAGAAAATGAATATTACTGGAGTAGGCCAAGGACCAGCCAAGTTTTGGCATGGCTTCCTATGAAAAGTAGCCATTGGGCTGGCTTTCTTCTCAGGAAGGCAACTCCCATCTAGTAGCTGAGACAGCTGCTGCACAGGCCTGGTCCACTGCCTGCCTGCCTGGCTCCTGGTGGGGAGGGGGTCTCTAAGCAGTAACAGAGCTGACCCAGAGCCTCGGGTGGGGAGAAAAATCGGTGCTACCTTAGCTTAGGTGGTGGTTGAGGGTGTTCCAAGATCTTTCTCCCCATGAGTGGGGTCTGGAGAAGGACTTGTACCTTGAATTCATGGTTTACTCTTTTCTTACAGACACACACTGTTGTTTTACCCAGCATCCTTCACTGCATCCATCCGTCGGACTTATACCAGTGAGGCAAATGCGGTGAGTGGCAGCCAGCTCCCTGCGAGCCCTGAGGTTGGGAGGGCCCTTTTGGGACTCCAGGCCGTGAGCTACCTTCTGAATGGGCCTGGACAGAGTGGCTGGAACACTCCGAACCACATTTTCGCTTAAGCCTTCTTTGAGGCCCTCCACCAGCAGGTAGACCCTCTCCCCATGCATATGGGAGCAGTGATGACACACTCTACCCCTCCCAGTCAGGGAACTTGTGGGGAGCACCTGCCAGGAAGCAAAGAACTGGGTTTCAGAGTGAGGTTCTGGGGTCTCTCAGCCCTATCTGTGTTCCAGTCCTGCCATTAACTACATTTTGAAAGTGACTCTGTTTCCCCACTGGAGACATGGAGTAAGCACACTTACTCTATAGCAGCTGTTCTCAACCTATGGGTCATGACCCCTTGGGGGAGATTGGGGTTGTACCACCCTTCCACAGGGGTTTCCCAAGACCATTGGAAAACACAGATATTTACATTTGTAACAGTAGCAAAATTACAGTTATGAAGTGGCAACAAAATAATTTTATGGTTGAAGGTCACCACAACATGAAACTGTAGTAAAGGGTCGCAGCACTGGGAAGGTTGAGAACCATAGGTTATGGTTGGGGATGGGGGCATGATATGAATAGAGTACATGCCCAGTGCTTTGCGCTCAGGAAGCACTGGATAAGCCTGGCTTTGATGAAGATGACAAGGGCAGTGAGCATCATGGTGACTATAGATAAGACACTGAGAAAGCAGGAGTCATTTCCCAGGCAGTCCTGTTGCTGGCTGAGTCTAGGCTGGAGCTTGGTCTCCTGATTCTAAGTGCCAGTCCCAGTATGCCTTGATGCCTGTCATTCTCCAGAAAGTGAGAGCCAGCTAGGGGGATGAGGCTTGGCCACCCAGCATGCATTAATATTACTGTGCAGAGGGCTGGGGAAGGCTGGTTGCTCTCCTCAGGATCCTGGGTTCCTAACATGGGTCTAACTTTCTAAAACAGGATAGTGGCAAAGCTGTCCTGGTCACAGGCTGTGACTCCGGATTTGGGTTCTCTTTGGCCAAACATCTACACTCAAAAGGTTTCCTTGTATTTGCTGGATGCTTAATGAAGGTAAGACTGGGCCATTTTCTTTACTATTATCCAAGCTCTCTCTCTCTCTCTCTCCCTGTGTGTGTGTGTGTGTGTGTGTGTGTGTGTGTGTGCGCGCGCGCGCGCGTGCGCGTGCGCGTGCATGTGCACACACTCTCACTTGCGCACACACTCTCACATGTGCATGCTCTTCTATGTGTTGCTAAAACAGCCTACACTTTCCCTACTTCAGTCTCATTTGTTCCAGCTTTTTGCACAGGTGCATGCATCCACGCATCCTCCCATGCATCATCCATGCATAAATCTATGCATCCATTCATCCACCAATCCTTCCATTGCTCATCCATCCATTGCTCTGCCATTTATTCACTCGTCAAATGATGGGCCTGCCACTTTGCTAGATGCTGTGGAATAAGAGTGCTCCAAGATCCAGTATCTTAGAGTTATATTGCTGTGATAAACACCATGACCAAAAGCAAGTTGGGGAGGAAAGTGTTTACTTTGCCTACATTTCCATATCACATTTCTTTGTAGAAGGCAGTGAGGGCAGGAACAAACAGGGCAAGCATTGGAGGCAGGAGCTGACACAGAGGCCATGGAGGGGTGCTGCTTAGTGGCCTGCTCCTCATGACTTGCTCAGCCTGCTTTCTTACAGAACCCAGGACCACCAGTCCAGGAGTGGTATCACCCACCATAGCCTAGGCCTTCCCACATCTATCACTAATTAAGAAAATGGCCTATAGGCTTGCTTGATCTTTTGGAGGCATTTTCTCAATTGGCATTCCCTCCTCTCAGATGACTCTAGCTTGGGTCAAACTGACATAAAATAGCCAGCACATTCAGAGAGTTCTCCATCCAGTGGTAAGAGGACACCATGCATAGGCACAGCTGAAGAAGTAGAATGGAAGCATTCTCAGGTCTTTCCAGATTGTTCCGGGTGAGGGGGAGAGATTGGCTCTGACTTGATGGGGAGGTGACATTGTTCAGGGCTGTCATAGATGAAGACTAGGAGACATGATCTGAGAGACAGAAGGGACATCCCAACACAGACTTGAAAGTGTAGAGCTAACTATTTTGGGACATCAAGTAGCATTTAGGGTCCATGAAGGGAAGTACTAGGATAGGAGACTGCAAATGTAACTAGGGGATTGTCCCCCCAGTTCAGAGAGCAACCTCCACAGGTCACTTTTAGGACATTTTCCTGGATCAATATTTTCCCTTTGGTTCTTTTCAGTTATATGCTGACATTCCACCCCCCCCCACACACACACACACACACACACACACACACGCACGCACGCACGCACGCACGCACGCACGCACGCACGCAGCCGTCCCATGCACCTCAAGCCCCAGCCAGTCACTGATTTCCATCCCCCTAGACTTGCCTTCTCTGGATGTTTTTCACATTGGATTCAAAGTTACTGGGTCTTTTTACTATGTGTCTTTCACATAGCACAATGTTTTCTTTGTTTGTTTTTAGACAGAGTCTCACTGCCAAGAACCCACAGAGATCCATTTGTCTCTGCCTTCCAGGTGCTGAGATTAAAGGCGTGCCCCACCACACCTGGCCCTAGCATGATTTTGAGAGCCATCTATATTGTAGCATGTATCATAGTTCATTTTTTCTGCAGAATATTACTTGATTATATGGATATACTACAGTGCTTTGTTCATTTGTACCCTAGATAAACTGGATAAAAACTTTAGAGATTTATTTTTTTATATGTATGGATGTTTTGCCTGCATATATGTATACCACATATATGTCTGGAGCTCCCAGAGGCCAGAAAAGGGCATCAGATACCCTGGAACTGGAGTTACAGATGGTTGTGAACCACTCTGTGGGTACTGGGAACTAAACCCAAGTCCTCTGCAAGTGCTCTTAACTGCTGAGCCATCTTTCCAGCCCCAAACTGCATTTCTAAAAAACATTCATAAAAATTAAAAATAAGCACTTGGCTTGACTTTTGGCTGTTTTGAATTGTGTTACTGTGAGCATTCACATCCCCATATCAGTGTAAGCCTCAGGGCATTAGAGTCAGTCCCTACCTGGGCCAGGTCATAAATCCAGAGCTTGCCCATGGCAAGAAGGACAGAGGTGACTACAGCCCTATCTCCCCAGGACAAAGGTGATGCTGGGGTTAATGAGCTGGACAGCTTAAACAGTGACCGACTAAGAACCATCCAGCTCAATGTCTGCAATGGTGAAGAGATCGAGAAAGCAGTAGAGACCGTCCACTCCAGCCTGAAGGACCCTGAAGAGGGTAAGGGTGCCTTGAGAGAGACTGCCAGTGCTGTGAAACTCAGGGTTGGTGTGTGGTGCCATTGTAGGGATCCTGGCCAATGCTGCCCTCCATTTGCAGGCCTCCTGGGAAAAGGCTCCTCTATTGTTTAAACTCTTTCTCCTGCTTGGTTTAAGGGAATGGATTAAATTAAGCATACTGGTGCAATAGGGCAGAAAAATGGCTATAGGCGAGTTTGAAATCTGTGGAGTGACAGATTGACATACTAATTCGGGCCGGTTCATCCAGTGCTCTTTGAATGTCCACCCTGGGCCAGGCACTGGGCTGAGTGGTGGGGATAGCCAAAGCTTACAGTTCTGTGAGTGGATGGATTTCACCATCAGGAAGCATGGCATGAACAGAGGCAGCAGCAAGGGAAGGGGGCCGTTGCCCAGTGCCAGGGGTAGGGTAGGGATAGGTAGTGTGGTAGAGAGCCAGGAGGGTTATGCCAAAGGGAGGGCAGAGCGTGAACAATGATGGGCTGCAGCCCATGGTGGGCTGGGATACGGCAAATGGTACCTTCATGGTAAGTTTGAGACTGGAGGTGGCAGCAGATGAGGTAGAGGACTGTCAGCTTTGCAGAAGGTACTGGAGAGTGAAGGGACTGTCTTGGGGTCGTGGCCTGGCTTGACTTGTGAAGCTCCCCCTGAAGCCTGCATTACAGAAGGGAATGGTGGGTTAAAGGGGAGTACGGGTGGCAGAGCCCTGAACACAGTGGTAGGAGCTCGCTAGTCGTACCTAGAGAACAAGCTAGCAGACAATTTGGATATGGAAATGAAGTGGCAAGAGGTGTCTGTCCTACATAGCTGGTGTCCTCCACTGCAAGAGCAAGATGAGGGTGAATAGGCACGGAGATGCCCATGGGACACTCTGGGATGTGTCCAGAGGGGATGTAGGACCCAGGGAGAGGGAGCCGGTTGGATGGAGTGCTCAAAGCTAAAGTTATAGACAATGTAGAGAGCCAATGGTCCAAGGATCAAATGTTGGAGAGGCTCCCTGAGCATCTTGTTTCGTCCTAGTTCAGCCTGTGTGGGGGACTTTATAGTTTGAGGGAGTCTGCTCTCCATCTGAGGGGGTTACCATTCAAGTGGACCTCAGGAGCAGGGAGCTGGGCCATACAGTAGGCCCTGTGCAAAAGCCAGTCTGTGCTGTTGATCTTGGAGCCCCTTGACATGTTAGCTCCCTGCTGCTCAACTGCTGGGTGGGGCCCAGTGAAGGGGCTGGGTGACCTGCACCTGCGCTTCGTAGCTGACCAAAACCGCCAGGCTGAAAAAACAAAACAAAACACTGCCATCTCTGAGACGAACTTGTGCCACATGACTAACAGAAGAGACTGTTCCTTAGGGAGCCTTAGGGTCACTTCAGCAGCTTGGGGCTGCCACACTACCCTCCTAGAGGCCACTCTGGGGCGCTGTGTTCTCCAGGAGCCCTGTGTGCTGAAGACCCTCTGGACATCTGTTTAATAATTAACAGCGATACTTGGTGTCCCTGGCCCATTAAGAAAAGGCAGGCGGGTCCCACAGGGATGATCACCAGTCACATAGCCTGTCACCCTTTGTCCCCCACAGTCTCCCTGGACAGCTAGGGCATTGCCTTCACAGACTAGGAAGCAGAAAGGCCACAGCAGCAGGCAGCCTGGAGTCACAGCTTGTGGGACTTGGCAGAATGGAGCACAGCTGGGATCCATGGCTACTGTTCTGCCATTCACAGAAACCATCCTGCAATTTTGGAGTTTTCCGGTTCAAAACCAGAAAGCAAAGCTGTCAGATAGCATTTGCATGCCGGCTTCCCCCCCCACACACACTCTTTTCCATCCTCTCCATCAACCTCTTCCTGCCAGTTGTGTCCCTGTCCGCGCCCCTCCCCCATGCCCCTTCTTCTAGCCCTGATTGTCCTTTTCCTGGTAAGTCTGAACACCTCCCATTGAGCACTGTTGGCTTTGGCCTCCAGGTGGCACCCTCCCAGAGCGTCCCAGCAGTCAGGTTTACCATCCCACCCAGTCTGGATAAGGACAGATGTACGCCCATCTTGGGCCCTCCTGGGCACATTTTGATGCTGCTTTTCACTCTGGCTCTATGGGACAGTCACCACCAAAGTCTGGGAAGCCACCTCAGGTGCTGAGGTGAAGTGAACTCTGCTTAGAGAGTTCAGCCACCTACCCTGCTTTGTAGGACCCTGAGCCTGTGACCAGCCCTCCCAACTCCAGGAAAGCATGCACACACACACTGACAGTGTAGGTACGGCCTGCCCCTGGAGCCATTACTTACCAATGGGGAAGCATTTACTGAGCCCCTGCTTGAAGCTCTGGACTATGCTAGGAGCTAGACACCAACCTAGTGGCTTCTGGACAAACCTCTGAGAAGCAGTTAAACAACCCAGGGCCTTATGCTGTGGGCAGGGAATCCTTTACATCAGGTTGTCCCTTGATCTTGGGGGGCGGGGGATGGGGACAGGGACTGTATTTATCCAGACCTTCACCTCTCTAAACAAGTGTGACTTGGGTATGAACCAGCTCCGATGTGGGCCTCAGCTTGCTTGTCTGTGAAGTGGTAAAGTATTTCTAGCCATCTCTTGCCTAGTCTAGACCTTATGACTGTGGAAGCAGGGGGCGGCTTTCCCAAGGAGCAGCCAAGCTGTTCATACTGAGAGGCAGAGTATGTGGAGAGAAGTCTGCAAAGGCCTCGGGTGCTACACTGCAGATTTAGAGCCACAGGAATGGGGAGAAAGATGAGCCTGGGTAGAGATGGAGGCTATGGATTGAGGCAGGGAGACCTGGAGGGATCTTCACAGAGCACAACAGAGTTCAGCCAGGGCTTGTGTTAATGCAGAAGGAAACAGAACTGACTCTTTGCCACAGTGGGGCTACGCATGAAGGCTTGTCCTCAGTCCTGGGTCAGATCTCACCTTCCTTGCCTAGTCCCCAGTGACACCGAGCAAAGACGAAGCCTCTATGAGCCTCAGTTGCACCAGTCAGCTATGGGTTGATTTAGCATCTACTGTGTGACTTAGTTATGAGGGTCAGGTGACATCACCAGTGCCATTCTGATCATGCCATCTTTCCAGCCCTGGGTGACACATTGGATGGGGAGAGGGGGAGGAGTTGGAGGAGTGAACATAGTAACACTAACAGAACTCAGCGTGTTAGTGGTGGTCAGGGTGAGTTAGGACTGTGCAGCTCAGACAGAAGGGACAGTAAGGTGGAGTTGTGGATCCAGTCCCTCTAAAGGCACATGGGACTTGTCTGGACACAGAGATAATACTGAGGCCATTCTGGGGAAGCAGCTGCCCCCTGGGCTGGCAAGAGTGCTGTTGAAGTTTCTTTAGAACCCTGACTGGCCAAGGACTCCGGAGAAGTACCAGGTCAACTGTTGCTTGCCCAGTCGGCACTCAGTGTACTTACATAGGTTAAGTTTAATTCATCTTTATTGGACAGTAGTACTAGATACAATTGTTTTACTTTTAGGTTGAATGTACACACATACATTTTAGACCCTGTGATACTGTCCCATTTGAGTCAGACACAAAGCCACTGGAAAGGTCTTCTACAAGTATGTAGTAGCAGAAAAGACTGTGTTAACATTCAGGAGAGTCAGGCTGAGCATGAGACACTGGATATGACTTCTAGGGGTGGCGGCAGGTAGAGGAAAAATGCTGGGATTCTCTGTGTCACTGGGGGGGGCAGCGGGGGGGCGGAGCTGGTGCCCAGGGCCATTAGTAGATGGTATCAAAGAAGAGATTAGAGATGGGGCCGGACTTAGTTGGTGGCCTCTTAGAGGCCATAGGAGAACAGGATGAACAGTAGATGGGAGGTTGGAGTCCAGAGTGGTGTGACAGGATGGAGAGGTTAGGATGTTCTCAGAAGGAAGGAGATCAGGTAGCACGGTCTTAGGGGGTAGAAATGTAGTAGACGTTCATCACCCAACACACATGCACTGCGTTCCTAATGGACAGTTAAGGACGGCTGCTGTGGGTGGAGAGGGGCATGGGCCTAAGGGTTAGCCATAGCCACCAGAGAGGCTTTGGGCTCCAGCTGGAAGCCTCAGGGAAGCCAGAAGACAGCTGTTGGAGCTGTGGGGTTTCTGGGATGCCTCTGATTGTGTGGGTTGTGCCTCAAGGTCACAACTTTAGCCTGAGAGCTGAGGGCAGGGAGCCCCAGCAGGCAGCTGGTGCAGGAGAGAGCTCTTTGGACACCAGCAATTTCCTCTCCTTAATAAATGCCCTTAATTCCCTGTAATTGAAGGAGAAGGCACCAGAGGTCAGCTGACCAAGCTTTAATTTGGACAAGACGGAAGGAAAGCAACTGGAGACCAATTACCCTGTCATTTACACAAACTCATTCCCGTGATGCACTGGGAGAGTGAGTCCCAGGCCTCATTCTCACAGGTGATGAGCAAGCATCCTGCCTCTGCTGAAGCCCCTGCAAGGAGCACAGAGCTTTTTGTGGCAGGAGGTTAAGCCATGAGGAGACCAAACCCTGAGAATCTCCATAACAAAGAGGAAGGACCCCACTCTGCCCTGGGGCTCTGACCCATCCACTTCTTACACCCCCAAAACGGAACTCAAAACCCTGGAAAGCAGGCGCCTTCCCTTGGCTCGGGTCCAACCCCATCTCCGACTTAATGATGAGACTTAAAGCTGTCTTTTCCCTTGACAGCTTTGGTTTCCCCTTGCTGCCAAAATAGTTAAGACAAAATAAACTCCAGGAACTTTCCAGAACCAACATTGTCTGCGTCTACAAAAGCCAGCTGTCCCTTAGCTGCTCTGTGAAACAGTCAGCTGGAGCAGGCTGTGAGTACAGGCATCTTCTTGGAGCCTGTACTGACACACACACAGGCTTAGGAGAGGGTGAGAAGAGACACACTGTCCCTTAATGTGTGACCAGCAAACAGCAGCACGCTCAGGAGAGGAACATGAGAGAACAGAGAATTTGTTACGAGTTCCAAGGTGGAGTAGGGTGGGGCCTGATCATGAGCAAGGCTTGGCAGCAGAACCCATAACTTAATGGGTGACCTTGAAGTTTTGGGTCCTTCTATGAGCTTGGCTTGGAAAATTCCTGAGGTTTGCCTGGTCACTGGCAAGCGGGGCAATAGAAACAATAGCTGAGTTGCATGAATAGATACAGGGTGTAGACTTGAGGTCATATGGAGGAGAGGGAAATGCCTGTCTTCCTTCCTTTTCTGTTGCTGTGATAAACACCATGACCAAAAAACACACTGGGAAAAGTTTATTTGGCATATAAAATACCATCTCTGTGAAGGAAATCGGGGCAGGAACTCAGAGCAGGAGCCTGGAGGCGGGAACAGAGCAGAGGCCATGGGGGAGTGCCGCTTACTGGCTTGCTCTACAGTTTGTTTTTGTACACACCACCTGGCAAGGCATTGTATCACCCGCAAGAAAACGCCCTATAGATTTGCCTACAGGCAGCTCGTACGGAGTAATAGTAATCTTTTCAATTACTATTACCTCTTCCCAGATACTCATCAAGTTGACAAAAGCCAACCTGTCCAGTGTAGGTGTGGAGCAAGACATGGGCGAAGATCCTGCAAGACTCAGTCATGAAGGGCTGAGAATTGATTCAGCCAGCAGTGACAGGAAGCCTGGATGTTGGTTCTCTCTCTCTCTCTCTCTCTCTCTCTCTCTCTCTCTCTCTCTCTCTCTCTCTCTCTCTCTCTCTCTCTCTCTCCTTTCACTCTTGGCCGACTCTAGAAATGTTTCCTGAGAGCCTTGGGCAAGAGGCTGGGGGTCATGGGAGAAAGATCAGAATAGAGAGCGGCGATGGGCTAGTGGCATCGGAGCCCACATGGTGACCTGCTGTGTCCTCTTTCGTCCAGGATTGTGGGGCCTGGTTAACAATGCAGGCATTTCAACATTCGGGGAGGTGGAGTTCACCAGCATGGAGACATACAAAGAAGTGGCAGAAGTGAACCTCTGGGGTACAGTGCGCACAACGAAATCCTTCCTCCCCCTTCTCCGGAGAGCCAAAGGTGAGCTGGAAGACAGATTCTTCCTGCCCACCCCTCATTGTACCTGCCCGACCTTTTCATTCCTGTTCAGATTGGAAACACCAGAGCTGCCAGAGCTAGCATCCACAGTAGTGAGGCGACTTCAGGGGTCTCAGAGCCATGCTGGGCGTGGGAATGGTGATGGGGAGAAGTGCATGGCCAGGTAGGGGCGAGGAGTCTGTGGCTTTCAGAAGTAGAGTAGATGGGTTGGGATGGTGGTACACAACTGTAAGCCAGCACTGACTGAAGCAAGATCCTGAGTTAATGTCAGCCTAGGACACATAATGAAACCCTGTCTCAAAAACGCACAGGAAAGGTAGTTCAGTGCACTCAGGGCTTATGGATCATAGCGGCTTGCCCTCTAAGAACCAGTTCTGGAGAAGTAACCACATGTCCACCAACTGTGTCTGCATGCTGTCATATCACAGTGTAATATTAAACAAATGTTAGTATGTTCCATAGCTTAAAAATGAGACATTGTGTTATTCAGTTCAAACAAGACTAGAAACTTGGAGAACAGACACAATGCCCAGATCACATAAAATAGCCATATATCAGCAAAGCTAGCTATAAAGTCATGAGGTCTGACTTTTCTCCCTGGAACAGCAAGCCACTGTGACAAAAAGGTACCAGATCCCCAGATCTGTCTCAAGGTTTTGGCAATGTAGGAACGGACAGGAATCAGCTGTAGTCTTCAAGAGGAAGCCCCACCTTTTAGTGACCTCACACTTAGGGGGTGTATGTTCTGGGGGGCACCCCTTGGGCAAGTTGACCCAGGTCAGCCTGGGCTGAGTGGGATCTACCCCAACCCCACCAGGATGGGAGAAGTTGGGATGGACCCATTCTCAGGCTAGGGCTGTGACAGAATGCTTGAGTCGGGCAATGATACCTCATGTCCAGCCTTGAAATCAGCTTTGGAGGTCAGGCCCCTGCTCCTGCTCCTGCCCCAGCCCACTCTTTCTGGCTCTGGTGCTGGGAATAGCCCACCACCCCCGTCCTCCTCTGGGATGGGGGTGTTGTAGGCTCCCTTTTGCCAGCCTGGTCCTGGGCATTCTGGCTTCTGTGCTCTATCTCTGTCCCCGGCCGTGCCAGCAGTCAGCACCCACCTGGACTCACCATGATACTTCTCTGTGTACCTAACTGGGGAAGCTGAGTTTTAAGCTCACTGAGGGGAAGGAGGAGGTTTTGGTTTGTGTTTCTCCCCAACTGGCATCAGACCCTGCTTAGAGTGGACGCATAGGTTCACACAGACATAGCCATTCCATGTCTCACACACGGCCGGTATGTTTCCACCCCACAGTATTATCACCAGGCAGGCTCCGGCCAGTGATCAGTCATGCGTGTGTACCTTTTCCAGGGCACCCTCCTGGTGCACAGGCTTGTTCCTCCTCTGTTCCCCCTTCCCTGGTCCTGCCTGGCACAGCAGAGTCCTTGAGGAAGATTGGGGACCCTGGTTAGCTAGGTGGTCCACCGAGGCCCCCTGCCTCTGGTTCTAAAGCTGTCCCTGCCAGGCCACCATGTCACAGGGCAATCCATCTGAGCAGATGTTTGCTGTCTTCTTCTATAGGCCGTGTTGTTAACATCAGCAGTATGCTGGGCCGAATGGCCAACCCAGCCCGCTCACCTTACTGCATCACCAAGTTTGGGGTAGAGGCTTTCTCCGACTGCCTCCGCTATGAGATGCACCCTCTGGGTGTGAAGGTCAGTGTGGTGGAGCCCGGCAATTTCATTGCTGCTACCAGTCTCTATAGCCCAGAGCGTATCCAGGCCATTGCCAAGAAGATGTGGGATGATCTTCCTGAGGTCGTCCGCAAAGACTATGGCAAGAAGTATTTCGATGAGAAGATCGCCAAGATGGAGACCTACTGCAACAGCGGCTCCACAGACACGTCCTCTGTCATCAATGCTGTCACACATGCCCTGACAGCCGCCTCCCCCTATACCCGCTACCATCCCATGGACTACTACTGGTGGCTGCGAATGCAGATCATGACCCACTTTCCAGGGGCCATCTCTGACATGATCTACATACACTGAAGAGCTACAGAGGCCTCTGTGACCAGGGGATCTGATGGGAGGGAGAAGGATGAGGGGAGGGAGTTCGGACAGTTACCTTCTGATTACACTTGTGGATTACCCACTGTCTTAGGAAGACCTATTTTAGCATTAACCTTACTTGTGCACGTGGTGAATGGGTCTGGACCTTCACAGATGTGAGGGCACAGGTGTGGCCCTAAGCCTCAGGGCCAACATGGTGCTTCTATCTATCTCAAGCTGATTTTATACAAAGATTTGTGGGAAATATCTTTATATTAAAAATAGATTGTTATAATAGAATCCAAAATCATTTTAAAGCCAAAACATCCATTCAAAATATTTATCCTTAAGCAAGTCTCATGAGCATGAAGGACAGATTTTTTTTTCCTTGTGTGCATGAAGAATTTGCAGAACTTGTGATCTGCATACAAAATGCCCTTTTTGCTGTGCCCAAGTGGTCCTACTGTGCACTGGCATTGCTGTAAAAACTCATCACATTTGTGTTCTGGGGACACTGTGGACCCATCAGTCCTTGACTTCTCTGGCCAGCAGTGTGTCTTCTCCTGAGACAGTCCCACCAGGTGCCCCTGAGTGGTTTCTGCACGACCATGGCACGATGTGACTGGTGGCCAGCAGCCACTGACTCAGCTGGCTGGGGGTGGGGAATCTAGAGATTGGCAGCTGAGAGTTCTCCACCCTCTTCGAAGACGGGTTAGATCTGGGTGGAAGCGCTCTGCATAGGAGTGTGGTTTGGTTTCGCCTTGGACAGGATTGGTGCTCTTTGGGGCTGTAGACAAATGAGTGGTGGTGCCAAGGCTGGGCACTGAGACACTTCCCCAGCAATGGATCACATACACACCTGTTCCATTGGCCTTCAGGATGGTCACACCTCTCCTTCCTACTGTGAACTTCTTAATTAAGCTACTCAGTCTGTTACCAATCAAGGAAGGTTTGACTTTGAAGGCTGCTTGTCCCTGCAGTTGTCCGGGGGGCTGTAAAGCCTTGGGCAGCTTTACACATTTAAATAATCATTTGTGCCTTTTGTTGCAAAATCTAGTCCTGCCACTAGAGGGAGCCATGGCTCCTCAGCTAGAGCCTGTTCAGCGTTTTCTTTCAAGCTTGAGGTCTTTCCAAGAGTGTTTGACCACCTACTTGGATGCTGCCTCGGAACAAAGAATGAAGCAAAGCCCCTTTGGAAACAGTGATCCTACACTCCTAAGCAGTTGTCTGGCCTGAACCTGGAGCCCAGTGCCAAGAGAGAGCAAAGGAACTTAGGCAGCTAGAACACACTGGCATGTGCAGCCATACTGAGGCAAAAGGTTCCACAGAGAGCAGATTCAGCCTGCCTTTTGGGGTTTTGACCTCTCTGGATTCAAACAGAGGTGCTATGTTCCATCCCTGTCTTCAGGCAAGGCAGAAAGGGTCTGGGAGGAAAGGGACGAGGGAGGCAAGGCCTCAGGACCCAGAGAGGGACCCCTGATGGCTTGCACTTAACCTAACAGTGAGATGCTTTTGTACTTCAGGGCCTACCTCCAGCTGGAGCCTTCCCGTGGCATTTTTACATCTTGGGAGAATTTGTTTTCGTGCTTAATAAAGAGGTTGATTGTAACACTTGGAGAGTGGCTTGGAGTTACACTCATGTATCCATCCATCACTGGGAGCTAGAAAGGGATTGGAGGTGACACTGACTTGAGTCCCAAGAAGCAATAAACTGAATGCCAGAGGATGTTCACCGGGGGCTTAAGCTGCGAAAGAGAACTGCCTGGTTAGGCCGTTGTGGCTTGCTTTATTTTACTTATTATACTGACTATCTTGCTGGACCTGATTTTTAACCTTTATTCTAACAACTAAAAAGCCCAAGGTTACGAGGCATGGTGGCACACTCTTTTAATTCCAGCACTTGGTAGGCAGAAGAGGGCTGATCTCTGTGAGTTCAAGTAAGCCTGGACTACACAGTAAGACCCTGTCTCAGAAAAGAAAAACCCAGAGTACTTTCCTTCCAAACAGTCTCAGTGGTAATTCAACCCCCCGGCTCACCTTCACTTGTTGCAATGACCAGCCTGCTTGGACACAGGAACTGCCTTTGATCTTTACGAGACAGGTGAGGTAGACAGATCACAGGTTGCTCCCATTTTACAGGCCATATAACTGAGGCCCCAAAGAGGAAAGAGACTCACCCAGTATCAGTGGGTGGGAATAGAATGTCCAGCCTCCAGAGTGATGTGAACATGTATTTTGGTGCTTAATCCTCAATCAATGGCATGTTTTTATAATAGCCAGGAGCCTAGCATTCTTTGTCTTACCAATCCCTTCCTGTGGTCTTTAAGGCAGGGAGAGGGTCTAGCAGTGTGTTCTGGCTCCATCTGCCTAAACCTTTGGTTGTGCCTTTGAATCTCAAGCAAGATGAAGGAAAACATTTTGGACAAACCCTTGAGCTGGCAGGTGGCGTTAGGGGGTAGGGATGGAGACTCGGGCTGGGCTTAGCCTGCGCCCAGGACTTGAGCTGATGCCTCTGGCCTGCCATAGCTAGCACGAACTCACCTCAAAGGCTGGAAAAGTCATCATGTGCTGAGCTTAACATTCCACCCCAAGGCCAAGCGGCCAGGTGAGCAGGTGACAACACAGCCTGGCCCTGCCTGTCACAAGCTGCTAGGACTGTTGCCCTGCCTGCCCCCTGTGGCAGGGAGCCCTGAGCCTCCCCTTGTGAGGTCTGCTCACTTCCTGTATTCCAGCCCTGCAAATCTGAGCACACCCTCCTTGGACAGGTGAGTAAGCACATTCTCCCAGCTTGGGGAACGAGGTTAACAAGCATATTCCTGTGTACAGTGCCAGACATACTTACCTAGCCAGTTACACCTCCTCTCACCTGACCCTCCCAGCTGCCCTGGCAGGTAGCCAGGGTGGGGTCAAGATCTCATTTTACAGATAAGGTAACAGGCTTTCCCAAGTCCCTGATCACAGGAGGGACAGAGCGGACTGGCCAACTCTGAGCTCACCTCTAGCCCAGAGCCAGCCATGCATGAAAAGCAGGGCAGATGGTACCGGGATCTAAAATAAGGAGGAGAAGAAAAAAAACTTCGATTATGTAACAGTGAGAGGAATCTTTAAGCTCATGCACAGGGCATGGCCACACAAACCAGCTTCCCCCACCACCTCCTTGGCATTCTGAGCATGGCTCCCTGGGAGCCTGTGCTGGAGGAATCCTCCAGCCACCTTGTTGCAAGCAGCATGCTTTTACAGAGCTCATACTGTGACCAGTGGGCATTTCAGAGGACAGATTCTAGAAACACGAGCCCACACCCCCAGGGACTTGAGAGGCACAGGAATAGAGCTCAGCAAGATAAGATCAGTTTTGCTTAGAGAGCTCAGACAAAGAGGAACTGAGGCACTGGAACTCTGGCGGAGATCACCTAGCCAAACTCAGGTGTAAACAGCCTTTCTGGTATGCGCAGTCAGTCATTAAAGGAAGGTAATTCATGAGCCATAGCTTCAGAGGCACAGAGTGAGCATTTGTGCACGGGGACCAAGGACCATAGTTTGGACAAGGGCTAAAGGAGGCTACCTCAGAGCGTGAACCCTGACAGTGACAGGGGTTCATTACCCAGGGAAGTTTTTCCTTGGGTCAAAGAGATTTATACAAAGCTGTAGCCAACCCTGCCTCCTCTGCCTAACCTCTGGCACCTGGTTCTGACCTAGACGACTACAGAACAATTTAGATCTCAGTCCTCTTAATATTTGGAAGTAGCTAAATCAAGTTCAAGAGCCCAGGTCCCGAATTTGACAAGTCTTCTAGACACTTCGATATCTGAATGGGAGCTTTCAGCCATGACTACACAGTCCCTCAAGTACCCAGATGACACCTTCCAGGCTAGAGGGCCACCCGAGTTCCTTTCAGGCAGCCAAGACCTGGTCAGCCCTGGAGAGGAGCTAACAACTGTCGCTCACACACGTGCCCTCACTGTCGCCTCTCATCTCCACCCACAGTGAGCACCTTATTAACGATGGGGGAACATTATGCCCATTTTGTAGATAAGAAACCAGAGCCTCAGGGAGGTGGTGTGGTTTATGGGAGATCATAGCCAGAAAGAGTGCCAAGGCAAACCCAGCATTCTAGTTTCTGTCTTCAGGACTCCTTCCTATTTCCTGGTCTCCATCGGGACCCTAGACCTGGGCTAGACTTAACTCAGTGACGGCAGTGGACAAGGTGGTAGCATGAAGGCCAGCCTCTTCCCAGCCCACAGTTTGTAGAGGGCAGAGCAGAAGAAAGGTCAATCTTCTCTGTCTTGTGTCACATACATCCGCCATGTCTAAGGTATTGTCGATGTGAGGGGGCAGAGAGCAAGGACAGGAAAGATTCTAAGGCAGGGCTCCAGACCATTCTGTTTTCACATTCTTGGACCTGTGTCAGAAGGGAGAGTAGAGGAGGGAAGGATGGCAGGAGGAAGAGAGAGATGTAAATGAGGATTCCGGAGATGCTGCTGCCCAGGAAATCTGTGCTGCTCTCACAGAGACTTAGTTACTCTCTCTCATGTCAGGCTAGTCTCGCTTATCAAATTAGTGGTGAACTTAATTACAATTCTTGGAGTAACCGCACTGAACTCAGAAATGTAGCAGGCTGGCTGTCTTCCGCGGCTTCAGCAGTGGCCATCATGTCAGGGCTGGTTGGCTCTGCAGCTGCCTCTTTCCTCCTTTTGTTGTGTTCTGCCAAAAAGTTTGGGTTTAGAATATCTGGCTGAAGTTGTGCCAAAGTGTGCAGGACCCATCATAAGAAACAAAGGCACACCTACTGCCATATCACCCTGAACGTGCCCGATCTCACCCGACCTCAGAAGCTAAGCAGAATGAGACCTTGTTAGCCCTGGGAGGAAAAACAAAAATGGAAGCCAGGCTCTGTGCTGTGTATCTGCCATCCCAGCAGAAAGGTGATCAGGCCAGCCTGGGCTACAAAGCAAGACCCCCACGGGAAGCAAAGCCAAGCCAAGAGTAAGCATGACACTAAATGAGAAAACACAAGATTTATGGCGATTCAAGGGTATCTTCAGGAAAAGAGGGTAAAGGCCAGGCTCCACACGGGCTCTTCTTCAATACCCAGGGTGAAGTGGGTAGAAGCAAGAGCTACTTGTCATTAGACTGAAGATCTAGGGTGAGATGATATTCCCAGCCTAAGGAGTTCTTAGCCACACGGGCTGCCGTGGTGGGGGGATGGGGTGGACAGACTGCACTATTTTTGGAACTACTGGATGTTCAGGACACGCTGGTGCCACAAGACAACCAAGTGTGTGTGTGAAAGTACCTGGGAAGGGGAAGGCACATCAGGCTGCAGGTGTTCCCTGTGGGAGCTGGGTTTCCA